ACATTAGCATCAAAGAAAATTATACTAGGAACAAAGGTCTCACATCGAAAGTTTGCAAGGCATATTAACTTATTATATAAGATATATGAGTCAATTTACTTATCACCAAAATGATTTTAGTTTGAAAGTCATCTAACTTAACATTTCTCTGTGCCTTCATATGATTTACAACACACCTTGTGGTTGGTAGGCTTGCCTCTGCGGAGATCAGCATTGTCCATACAGGGAAGGTCGTCATGAATAAGAGAGCTCGTGTGGATCATCTCCACCGCGCAAGCTGCTGACATGGCAGTAGCCTCATCGCCACCAACAAGCTCGCAAGAAGCAATACAGAGAAGAGGCCTCACGCGTTTTCCACCAGCTAGTAATGAGTATCTCACCGCCTCTTGGATCGTGAGGGGTTTCAGAAGCGGTACAGAAACGTCTAGAGCCGCGTTTACAGATTCGGCTTTACGGATCATATATGACTTGAAGTCAAAGGTGGAGTTGTGATCATTGCCTTGTGGTGGAATCATGTCACCACCTCGTGACGTGAGAGCAGATGAGATAGACAAACCGGTGCGTCTTGGGAGACTCTTGATGGATGATATGGAGTTGTTGTATCTTCTTCCTTTGAATTGTATGAAGAGGGAGGATGAGCTGAGATGAACAGCAGCCATTTCTGATCCACTTTCTCCAATACAATTTTAAAATTGGGTTTGGCCATTAAGAGCATGTGAAGGTCTTAATAGGTTTCTTGGAAATGGAAGCAAACGAAGGTCAACGTCTTCCTTCTTGCTATTTTAAATTGTATAACCTGAGAACAAGATAGTAGTATGATTATTCAATTATGTACATATATACAACGTATGAATTTCTAATAATAATTTGAATAATTGATAGCGTCGTTAGCTGTTGCAAGAAATTCTTAAAATTGACTTGAGAAACAGAGTTTGTGAAGTCTGATCCAGTCAAGATATTGTGAACATAAAAAGGAAAAATATGTGAAGATATGATCCTTGAATATTGAGAGTGTCTTAAATTTCAAGCAACTTGATCAGAGTAAGTAGAACACAGAGAATCGGGTACTTACAGTTCAAATTTGATATGTTCTAGGAGAACACGCTTCCTTGTAGCCACGAAACCAAGGTAAGCTCTTGGTCTGAGAGAGAACGCAAACATCCAAAAAATCTGAAACATAAAAGACTCAGATAACATAAGCTGTTATTGTCAATCATAAGCCATACTGAACTTCACAATTTTTGCTGTCCTTCCTTAGATCAATGCAGGCAAAGCAGATGTTGTGGGGACACACATTACTGAAAGTAGGAAGCTTTGGATAACACGTTTTCCATAGAGCATCCATCTTACTAAATCCATCATGGTCTCTGCTGCTCACAAACGCATCTAGAGATGTCTCCTTTATCTGAAAATCCGTTTGGTAATATCTTGCCAAGTATAAACTACGCATTTCTTTGGCGTTTTCTCAAAAAGCTTCATACATATTGTCATGCCTCCCACTCTAGAGGCATGGATAAAACAAACCCATAAATCTTAAACATGAGAGCCAAGGCGCTAGGATTAACACTGACATCTCCTCCTGTCTCAACTTTTCAGAAACAAAACCAAACCCATCTTTGAAACAACCATCAATCACAGAACCATAACACATTCTTTACAGGGCTTCTCTCTAACTTCAAAAAGTTTTCACCTTTGATAAATACCCATCAAACAGCGAGCCAATGTGATAAACAACAAATATCTCTCGCATGGCTTGAAATATCGGAAATAACCTCATTCAAATCCTCTGTTTTTCAGATGACTACTTACCAATACGACCGTACACTCAGAGAAACCAGAAGGTTTTAATCACACTAGATGTCTCACATACAAAAAACAATGTGCCTTGTCACACACCCCTGCCTTAAAGAAACAATTTTTATCCTCCCCGAGAAGGCGTAAAATCATGGCGTGGTTCTCTGGGGCATTTCATCGAACACCTTCCTCTGATCTGAGTATTTGCAGTCGACGTGGTGATTTGCTTCTGTTAAGGAGAATTGCGTTAGGAAGAGAAAAAGGCATAGATGTATCTCACGCATTAGTTAGTTAGTTAGTTAGTTAGTTAAGTCAGTTACTGGCATGACTCTGAATCAAGGAGAAAGGAAAGGACGAAATGGCGGGAAACATTTAGAGCTCTATCATTGCTAAACCTTCCAGTTGATTTAGAAGGTTTCAAGAACGCATCAATATTTTACTTCTTTTTACATAATTGTGTTACTAGATTTTGACCCGCCCTTCAAATAGTGTGGATATATTTTTATTTTAATTTTTTTGAGAAATTTAATGTTCTAGTTTTTGTTTTCTTTTTAAAATTATATTTATATTTAATCAATTATGGATAATAATGAAAATTTAGTGTTATTAATATAAAAAATAATTGAATAATAAATAGTTGGACCAAATATTTATCAATTAGTCATGATCATGTTTTTATAGATACAGTTAATATATTGACTAATAAACTTCTAAGGATATTGTTTATTAATATAGTTTATGACAAATATAATTTTCTTTCCAATAAAAGGTTAAAATCAAATTAAAATAGTTTCTCCTCTTTAAATAACATTGTATTGGCATTAACACCGGAAAACATAATTATTGATCACACGTTAAAATATATTATACAACTATCTATCGTAGTTTGTATACAAATAAGAGTAATTGTAAGATAAAAAGATGAGCGTGATGGGTCTCAAAAATCTATGACTAAAGAGAGGTTATAACATACATTAATACTCGTAATGTATAAGAATATGTAGAAATAATTAGATTATTTAAAGGTAGTGCAGTGGCACAAAAGTAATATTTCAGGGTATACCAAGGGTAAATAATAGCAATGATGCTGTTTTAATAATATTGATTAATTTCTTGGTTTTCCTTTCTGAAATATTATACTTGCTTATTATATTTCAACATGAAAATGTATATTAGAGTCTAATAGATTAACACCCCAGGAAAATAAGAAATTTGTATATAAGTCAAGTTTTTAAAGTAAACTATAGTCTTTTTTTGTAACACAAGTAAACTATAGTCTATAGATGATATTTTATGAAGAAAGCCAAATGAATAGCATGAATGATTGATTACACTCCGATGCTTCCAAGAATACAGCAACAGCAGCTTAATTAATTACTACTCCAGTAAAGAGAATCGAATTTATTGATTTACAGTCATTAGGAGAGTCCACAAGGGGGCATTAAAAGAGTGTAAATTACGATAATCATAATGATTCGACGGAGTTTTGATATGATATGATATGCTTGTAAATCTATACAAAACGACTTTATCATCAACTCAAGATTCGTGTTGTATTTGAAAGACACAACTATTGGGTTTGACTAATAAGTCGAATAATTTTATACGCTACATATACTGTTTTTAATTTTCTTGAATCCATGATTACTTTTTGAAGTCTGTTGATGCCGTTGGTGACTATAAAACGAATATGATATAGCTATAAACCTGTCTGTCACTATTGCTGACGAATGCAAAACGAATATTGATTTTGGCTTCTAACAACTACGAACGGGAACGTTCATGAAAACTACGTACTATACAAAGACTAATTTGAATCAAATACATAATGAAGAAAAGTTCGACAAATCTTGGAGAATAGTTGGAGAGCATTAAAGAAGACGCAAGCATAGGTGGAAACATGTGAACCGATCGATAATTGATGCGATGAAAATGGGGTGGGTCGGTCCACTAAAAGAACCCACCACTCGTGCTAATGCTTCGAATCTCATTTATTCGGTCAAATCATTTCTTCTCCAATGTCCAACACCCACATGTGACAAGTACCTTATCAAGCATATCGTATACGACCCCGAAATTAAAGTTTTCTTTATCTATCTTTAATACAAATTTAGTGTCGGTACGTGTACTATTAAGTGTGACATCCATTTGCATTACAACCCTACATTATATTATGTCAATTCAGGCCAATATAAATGTTAAGATATGCACCGAACCGTTTTATAGGCGTGTAAATTTGGCATTCTTAGTTCTTGCAAAACGAAAACAACAACTATAAAGACATTATAAATTAGTTAGGTTTCTGCTATTTATCTTAAATAGATGTATATAGTACAAAACGAAAACAACAACTATAAAGACATTATATATTAGTTAGGTTTCTGTTATTTATCTTAAATAGATGTATATACATTTTAAATATATATATATATATATATATATGAGGCGTTGATATATAATTTTCTCTCAAAAGTTATTTGAATCTAGGGCACAATATATAGAACCACCACATACCTTCAGTATTATTTAACCTTTCTTTTACACACACGACCACCTCAACATGCTATTACAGCTCTATATATTAAGTTATTAACTAATAAAATAACTTCATTCCTACAATATTCAATTACTGATCACATGATTTTTTTTAAAATCCGTCGCTTCACAATTATGTTTAGCTAAATATTTGATGTATGCATGTTCTCGATGAAAGAAAAAACAAAGATATACATCGAATAGTTCAGTTGTTATACAACTTTTTGGAGAGAAAAAATACTGATAGAGATAAACTACTCAAAGTTTGATATACATCATGAATCAAAGTTTGACATGTCATTCAATTTTCCAGTGAAACAAACTACTCAAGAACATTTTTTTGTCATTAAAAATAATTACTTTGTGGATATGTTGTCGTAGTGGTGTTTTATTTGTCTACATAAGTATTATCCGTAGCATATTAAAAAGTTCTCCTTTTACGTCCGTTGATTTGTTCCCAAATTAAATGCAAACACGATAAAAGTAGATGTCACGGCTTTGTTTCTTCGCCTATCCTAAACCATATCTATTAGTGGGCTACGCATTATACCAAACTTTGTAATATATTTTGCCTATACGCATATTCCACTTGGACACTTGACATTTGACATTCAACTAATTTTCTAGTTATAATATTATGTCCATGACTTAATTTCATTCAGTCATGTCTCCTCGATGGTCCGTTATCAGTTAGGCATCCCATGCTTATTCTTTTTTCTTTTCTTTTCTTTATTATGAAAGGTTATTATCATCATCATATCACGCATTACATATAATCACATGATTGGTCGTTTAGTGTGGGGAGACATCTTATCTCATACGCCAATATATGCCTAATTAATTAATTTCAACCTTTCCCTATATATAAGACTTGTTTTAGCTCAAGTTATAATACATTCTCTAATATATATTTACTATTCTTAGCTCTCTATCTCTCTCTCTCTCTCTTCTCATGGCGACTGTGCAATATGGCTTGGATCAAGGCATGGAGACTTTCAACGACGAGCTTATGATCATGTCGTTCCTCGAAGAAGAATCGCCAGCTGAAAATAATATCAACGTTAGCGAAGAGGAAGAAGAGAAACTAAACCGTGTGATTAGATCGTTAGAAGTGGAGATCAACATGAGTTCTCCAACCATAGAATCTCAAAAACTGGATCTGCAAGAGATCACAAAACCCGGTTTTGAAGATGATTTTGGGTGGCTTAACGACTTTGATATTGGTCTGGTTTCGTCGCAAAATGATGATGAGATGATGAAATGGTGTACGGAACTTTCTTACATGGATGGTGTGAATAGTAGTGTTCTTGAGATTGAAGGTAGTGATTATTATTCTCATGTTAACTATGGACTTACCTTTGAGGAACCAAATATTTCTTTGTGGCAAGAGAATAATAATGATGTAGTTATGTTTTAAATGGTTTTCGAGAAGTCCTGATATAACAAAAGCTGTTTTAATACCAGTTGATTATATAAATAATGTAATGATCACTTGAGAAGACTAATTATCAAAACTAACAAATGTATCAACATAAAATTAAAATTATACACCATGAATAATTTATTGGATTTCACAGTTAACCGTTCGAAATGGATGCCTATTCGCATAATTAACTTTTATTTTCTTTCGAACATATTATTAAGGTAGATGGGCTTCCAACCTAAAACCAATTGGTGATAAGTGGAGTGACCCATTTATCTTATATATTGCTAGAGATCCCTTCCAATAACCGATGTAGGATCTTAGTCCCTAATACGTCCCCTCAAGATGATGGCTCTCTGGCATCAATCTCGAAATGTTCGGGCAAAGATCGATGGGCCGACTTTGGACTGGATCGATAAGGATAGGGTTGGACTGCGTGGATCGTGGGCTCTGATACCATATTAAGGTAGATGGGCTTCCAACCTAAAACCAATTGGTGATAAGTGGAGTGACCCATCTATCTTATATATTGTTAGACATATTCGCATAACTTTTTTGTCCACAAACGATTCGTATAATTCATCACAAAGTCATGGATTGGGATTTACCATAATCTTCAACAGCCTGTGGAATGTTCTTCAACGACCTCAGGATCCTTTTATAATGGAATGACTTGTATATATATCTTAAGGCTAAACCTCAGTTGCATTTACTGTTGTAATTGGTTAACTCTCATATAATGTTTTAATTAAGTTTTAACATCAATGAATAGGTTTGGCAAATAAACTATGATTTAATAAGAGAGGCAGTGCCACTGTGATATTAACTTAAACAGATCATCGAATTATCAGGTGATAACATACAGTAAGTCAGTGATTAAGAAACGTAAAAGTCAGTGATTAGGAAACGTAAGTGTGGGTTGCTTAGACCAGCTCCAAAAGGAGTTCTTCCCATTGAAACTTTTAAAATGCATACATATATAAATATTTGTGAGATTCATAATTTTTGTGGAATCCCTTAGACAAAGGTTCTTAAAATCTCATATAAATTCTTATATATATACATAATACATAGTTATATACATACATATATATAAACATAATACCCATTTAAAGGATTCTAGTGGAAAAATCTCCATTGGAGATTCTTCATTGGAGGTGTTCTTACAGCTTACTTGGTATAACTTTGCTTCATATTAACCTTAGGGTTATGCACAAATACTTGATATTCGATTTGTATTCGGTACTTGACTCAATTCAGTTTGAAAAACAAGTACTTACTTTAATCAAGTCAACTAACAAATAAACAGATTTTATAACAAGTAGTCAAGTATCAAATTCATTTTGATTTTTAAGTACTTTTTCGGTATTTGGTTTGTTACTTGTTATCACTTATTTATTCGATTACTTGTTATATATTACTTTGTTTATTAAATACTTATTATATATTTCATTAGTTATGTAAAACTTATGTATTTTATGAGTATCCACATTTACTCGTTACTTGTCTCTTATTCGTTACTTGATTAGTACATGATCCTTAAAGTCAAATACTTGTTATGACCAAATCGTATATCAAGTAGTATATTTAAACTTCTACAAATTTAAATAATTAACTTATATTAATTAGTTGGCTTTGTTTGGTTTATTACTCGTTTTTGTTAATAAAAAAATACATTTTTCTAAATCATAATAAACTATAACTCATTTATATTTGAATCAAACATAAGTGATATATTTGTATAAGCATCTTGAAATTTTCTTTCTTAATATAATATATTTCATGAGACTAAAATACAAGAAAAACAATGAAAAACAAAAATATTGACATATTATTTATATATAATAATTTTATTCACCTTTAAATTTCAACTAATTTTCAAATAATTTACCAATAACTATCAAATAATTTATAAGTAACGAGTAATAAATCAAAGTATGTAACTTATAAATTCATTAATTTTTCGTAAGTAATTAAAATTGTAAATACTCATTTTTAAAAAACTAAGTACAAGTCAAAAATTTAAATATTCGTATAAACAAAACCGAGTAGTAAGTACTAAGTAGAATCGCACCACTAATTAACGTAACATAAAGCCAATGGGCCAACGGATCATGGGCTTTTGTTAACAATTCAACGAATATCGGAGAACAGACCTTACATGTCTTTTCTAAATACTAGGCCCAATCATCACACTAGAATGAAATACACCTTTTTTTTTTTGGTACAAAACTACCAACAGTTGAGATGCAGTAGAGATCCATGCAATAAATCTTGTTGTTTGTCTAAAATACATTCTTGCCCAATCAATAAAATAGAAAGTTTTGTTTTGTATCTTTCTGTTAATTTTTTTGTACTTAATTCAAACAACTCGTATTGATTTGGTCACCAAGTTATATTGTGAGCAGTAGTGATTGTGAGTGATCTTTTGGTATATTCTTAGTGACTAAGAAATAGATACATATGCACTTCAAGTCCAGAAGTATATGCTTTACATTCTGTTTATTTGTTATTATAAGATTAGGCTGCTTTACAGTCAATCTAACTTTTTCTATGTTTTCTTCTTTTTCCATGCACGTTGGTATTATGGTGTAAACTAATGCTATCTTTGATATCCTCCAATTGTTAGTTTCTTTAGCAAAGATTTAGTAAGAAAACAATTTTGTTTAGAAAAATATACATTCATGATACACCGAATCTCTGTTTTTGCATATCCTATTACCTTTCACTTTAACCCTTTCTTTAATTTGTTTTCTTTTGGACAAAAAGCTTACTATTAAGTTAATTAAAAAGTCGTTTTCCCACTTTAATCTTTATGACATCTAAGGCCAATTATGCAAGCTAATTAACATTTCTCCTCTTATATAAACCTCATATTTTCTTTGTATATGATAATGATTTCAATGAATTGATCAGATCATGTAGTAACCAAAACTTGGACATACTATAACAAATTAACTTTAACTTTTTTTGGTAAAAAATGAACTTTAAAAATGAGGTTACTTAGTATCCTAATTTCACATTTCCATGTGGAAGTGATGCAAACTCAGCTAAACTAACAAAAATATGGTCTATACTTACCTGCTTTTTATATATGAGTTCAGTACTTACCTATAAAAAGAACTTTGTGATGTAACTCTTGTTAGAAGGAAAAAGTGTTAGTTACACTACACATATACAAAATAGTAATTTTTTATAATATCGCAAATCAATAATTTTTCTTTGTCAACCAAATCAATAATTTCTAATCTGCTAATTTAAAATATAAGAAGTTTAAGCCACCTTAATTTTCTTAAAGATTTAATTTAATATTTTAAATTTATTAAAATACAATCTTGAGATTTTGGAATTATAGTGATTTGGTGTGTGAAATGCAAAAAAAAAAAAATTAATCACCGTTTTTTTTCCCTCCAAAAAAGGAACGTCTCTCCAACTAATAAAGAAAAGCAAAAAGAAATCGCACCATCATCATCTCTCTCTCTCAAAAAAAAAAAAAGCCCTCCCTTTTTCAAAAATCTCCGCCATGGAAACTCACCTCGCTAAGCAATTAACGCTTTTATATAACAAAACCTCATCATTCTCCACCTTCCTCCCCAATGCTTCCCTCCAAAAACCATGTCTCACGAAATCGTCCCCGTGGACCCCATCGACGTCCCGAGCACGAGCTACTCACGCCCGATTCTGGCTCGAGAAGATTCTCCGGAGAGACATGATCAACACCAGTACACGAGATCCCTCACTTTCCGAGAACACGTGTCGGAGCCGTTCGACAGTGAGAGGCTTCCGGCGACGTTAGCTTCAGAGATTCAGAGGTTTCTTCGTATTGCAAATTTGGTTGAGTCTGAAGAACCTCGTATCGCTTATCTTTGTGAGTTCCCATCTCTCTCTATACTTGAATACAAACGCTCTGTATTCTAAAAATTGAAACTTTTAATGAATACAAACGCTCTGCAGTTTAAAAATTGGAACTTTTCATGAATACAAAACGTTCTGCTGTTTAAAAATTGAATCTTTTTATGATTACAAACGCTCTGTAGTCTAAAAATTGAAACTTTTCATGATTACAAACGCTCTGCAGTCTAAAATTTGGAACTTTTCATGAATACAAACCGCTCTGCAGTCTAAAATTTGGAACTTTTCATGAATACAAAACGTTCTGCAGTTTAAAAATTGAAACTTTTCATGAATACAAACGCTCTGCAGTTTAAAAATTGAAACTTTTCATGATTACAAACGCTCTGCAGTCTAAAAATTGAGACTTTTCACTGAACACAAAAGTTATGCAATCTAAAATTGAAACTATTTTTATGAATACAAACGTGTTCTGCAGTCTAAAAATTGAAACTTTGGATTGGTAGGCCGTTTTCATGCGTTTGAGATAGCTCACCACATGGACAGAAACTCTACCGGAAGAGGTGTGCGGCAGTTCAAAACTTCTCTTCTCCAAAGGCTTGAACAGGCAAGTTCTTAAGCCTACAAGATATGTGGGATGAGATTACTTTAGTCTGACTTCTTTTTGGTTTCCTTTTATAGGATGAAGAGTTTACTGTGATAAGAAGAAAGGAGAAGAGTGATGTTCGAGAACTCAAACGTGTTTATCATGCTTACAAAGAGTATATTATCAAACATGCTGCTACATTCAATTTGGATCACAGGTATTCAGGATCTCAGTGACTGTAGTGGTAGTTCAGTTTCAGCTAGTCAAAATACTAATCTTTTGGAATGTTTTTGATCTTTAAATAGTCAGCGAGAGAAGTTGGTTAACGCACGCAGAATTGCCTCTGTTTTGTATGAAGTTCTTAAGACTGTCACAAGTGGCGCTGGCCCTCAGGTTCTTCCCTTCTTTTTTCGCTCTCGAATCTGTATGTATGACATTTGTGTATCTAACCTTGAAAATTGTGGTTTCTGATATATAGGCCATTGCGGATAGAGAAAGCATTCGTGCAAAATCTGAATTCTATGTGCCATATAACATTCTTCCCCTTGACAGAGGAGGGGTACACCAAGCAATTATGCATCTTCCTGAGGTATAACAAACATACATATAGTTTGTGTACTAGTATGCATTTGGTTCTGTCATGGTGAAATGTTCATTTCTGTCATACTAC